CCACCGAATGCAGGCGGGTGGGCTGGTGGGTGGTGGGGCGCTTGGCACAGCGCACAGGTGAGGAGAGAGAGGTGGGAAGGACGACTCAAGGGAGGGTCGGGAGGCATGAGGGGAAAGAGCAGAGGGAACAGCAACGCGTACCGCTCATCTTGTATTCGCATGTCGGTCCGCTGTTGATGCTGAGAGCAGAAGAGGCCTTGGAGCCGACAGTGTCGACCTTTTCGAATCCGGGGTGCGAGGGGTTGAGACGGTCATCGATAGGCCGGGCGTTCTCATCCTGAACGCCGATGGCAGCGCCGGGTCTGCGGGCGAAGGGGTTGCGGATGGGCATTGCTGTGATCTGTGCGATAGTAGAAGGATGTGTAAAGACGGCGAGAAGTCTTGGTCAAGCAGACGGCAGAGCAGGAAATTGCGAAAAGTTGTTGTAAGGGAAGAAGGGGATCCGTTCGGGTGGTGCGCCGTTGAAAGTCGAGAAGGCTATTGCTGAGAGGTCAGACAGTGTCAGAACAGAGGCCGGCCGGGTTGGAGCAAGGTCGAGGAATCAGATGTGATCGGATCGATTGTAGGGTGGACCTGACATGGGGGCGTGGATCAGGTTCAGAGTGAAAAGAGCTTAGTCGTGGAGATGGAAGGGGGGGGACAGGAGAGGTCCCCAAGTCCCCCAAGACCAAGACGGCAGCAGCACCACCAGGACCAGCCAGGGCCGCCAGGGTCGTCTGCTGAACCTTGATCAGCGTTCCTTGAGGGGGGTGTTGACTAAGTGATGAGCGCTTGAATCTGGCATGGCGGCGAGTCGGGGCGCCAGTAACGTCCGAAAGAGCGGAGGTTTGGGCGACGATCAGGGCAGGCGCTGCGCGTTGTACCTTGAGCCAAGTCTCCGTCAGACTGCCCTGCCAGTCTCGTCAGCAGTGCCATCAGCACGGAAAGTCAGCCTGTAGGCATTGCAGCCTCTCAGCATGGGCAACACGGGACGGCTGCGAGATGTGCATTCTCTGGATCTGACGCCAGCCATCAGGTCCGTTCGCTCCCCTTCTTTTGCCCGATGCCACTTGCTCATCTCAAGGCAAAGGCATGAACGATGGGCATTGGCCATGTTTTGAGGCGTGAGATGGCCGACTTGCAGTGTCGTTCGCTTGGTTGATGGATAGTTGACTCGCTGTCGCCCAGTTTTCAGTGACCCGCTCCTTCGCAGTTCTGGTTCCGTGAATGTTGGCTATTGCCGTGAACCCCACGTCTTCAGCGCTCGGGGTTTCTTCTGCCACGGCTTGTCTTCAATGCTGCCCCGTCGGCGATACAGGAACAAAAGCATGGGTGCTTCGACTGGCTGGCCCCTAGACGACGCTTGTCGTCATCAAAGCCTCCCGCCTAGCCGAAGTGGTGCCTCGCCCTTGTCTGCCATGCGCGCGAGGGCTGTAGCGGCCCAAAGCAAGGCTGGCTAAATGGAAGCCGGCGCCATACGCGGACCCAGACGATGCCGACGTACAATGGCGTAGCTGGCCAGTATAGTTTGCTGCTGGCAGTGTTTCTGAGACCTGGCGGGGGGGCAGGGAGTTGGGCGGTGGGCGGCGGCAGGATTGATTGACACTGATTCACAGGCTGACAGGGTCACTGACTTGGCAGGCAAGAAGGACCTGACCACCGGAGTGGCCAGAACTGGGAAGTGGTGTACGACTCGCGACTTCCTTGGCTGACGCTAACTGACTTGGCCTGTTCTGCACACACAGTGCTCGGCGTCTAGGCTAGTTAATGACACTGTATCGGCGAGTCCGTCTTCGCTGCCTACTTTACCCAATTGCACAACTGACTAAGGTGGGTACCTTAGGTGCCTGGATAAGGCAAGGTAGGTACAGTACAGTATCCTCCCCTAAATTTCTTTGCAGAATGACGATTATGTCATCAAAATGGACCGTCGATTGCTCCTTCCTGAGGAGATGTCCTCAACTCCTGACGAGTTCGGGTCCAGGCAACGATATCGAATCAGACATCACAACGGGCAGCTGCATGAACCTGAAATTTATGCATTCATTTATTCATCTATCATTGTTGAACAACTTGAAACACCAACAACCCAAAATCAAACATTGGATATCATGCTTCGCTCTACTCAGCCATCATCTTACCCTCCGTACCCTCGGCTCCAAAAATCTCAGCCTTGGCCGAGCCAAACTTCCTGGTCGGCGTGAGATGGGCGAACAGGTAGTCCAGCTCCTCGTATGTGCGGCCCTTAGACTCGGGAAGACGGAAGAACGCCCACACAAACACAGCGAACGCGGTGCTCCCCCAGATGAATCCCGTGTATCCACGCAGGTTCAGCTCGCCCGGGTTCATGAAGTACGGCTGCAAGACCTGCGAGATGACCGAAATGACATAGTACGAGTTACGCGCCAGGCAGATCGTCTTCTGCCTCAGTCGCGTCGAGCCAATCTCGGCCGGAATGGCCCAGCCCAGTTGGCCCGCTGACAGCTGGAAGACAAAGGTCCACACGAGCGTCAAGACTGCCTGCACCATGCCCACCGAGTTGCGATCCGTCCAGACATTGAGGATGCCAATAATGTACAACACTGTTGCCATGGTGGCCATGCCGCAGAGGTAGATGCGCCGGCGTCCAAAATAGGGCATGAGACAGAACCAATTGACTAGCGTACCGACGAGCGCCATGGCTGTGCCGCCCGTGTTGAGGTAATACGTTTGGTCCGTGTCGAGTCCGACCTGCTGAAAGAAGTAGGTCGAGTTGTAGGCGAATGAAGAGCCGGCGAGCACCTGTCCGGCAAAGGCCACGCACGCAATCTCCGTGCGGCGGAGTTCGGTACCTCGGAAGCAGTCCCAGTAGCTTGTGCCAGCTGTGAGCTCGATCTCGACATTGTTGGTATGCACAATCTCGGCCAGTGTCGCCTTGACGCTGAACTTGGACGACCCGTCCGTCACGTCGTCGCGCTGCAGGCGGCACAGTGACTTCTCGGCATCCTCGAGGCGACCCATGCGAACCAGGTGCCAGGGCGACTCGGGCGCAAAGCTGAGGATGGGGATCAGGAAGGCGGGCCACGTCCACTGCAGAGCAAAGGGAATACGGTACGCCCACTCGTCGGGCCGGTCGACGAGGCCTGCGAGCACACCCGCAGCAATAAGCTGGCCGATAATGAAGCACATGTTGGTCCAGCTCGTGAGATAGACGCGGAGGCTCATGGGCAGAACCTCGGAGGCGTAGGCCGGCGCCGACGTGGCGAAGACGCCCCAGGGGAGGCCGCAGAAGAACTGACCGATCATGAGGATGACGATGCTGTGGGCGAAGAAGGTCATAAAGATAAAGGCCGACAGCACAAACAGCGAGATGATGAGGATCCTCTTCTGACCAAATTTGGCGACGAGGTAGCCGTTGAGAAGGACGCCAATGAAGCAGCCGACACCGCTGGCGTTACTGAGACCAGCTTGCCACGGAGCTGACAGTTGATGCTTGCCGTTATCATCGATATACTGGCCGTACTTCTTGGCAAATTGGGGGTAGGCGTAAAAGTTGCCTATCAGGGATTGTGTCGTAACCTATAGGCCGACTCTGTCAGTTTCTCTCTCTTCAGATCCAACAGGGGACCGCAGAAGAGGGGAGGGAGGAGACGCACCTTCCATAATGACACACATGCACACCATCAAACTCCAGAAGATAGCCATGGGATAGGCACGCAGAGCCTCCTTCAGGGTAATGGCATGCTGCGCTTCAACAGCCTCTTGGGCCCGGGCCGCCAGTACGGTGGGCTCGCTGAGGGTAGCATCATCGATCTGGACATTGTCCATCTTCTCGTGGTACCGGCCATCTTCAATACCGCCGCAGTTTGCTGTGATGGTCGCAGTGGTGGTGGTGGTGCTCGTCACTCGGTGCCTGGAGACAGACGAGAGAGAGAATCAAGTGGTTGTTGATGCCGTGAGCGGAGAGAATGGTATGATACTTCAGAGAGAAACCGTCGTCTCAGATGGCGAGGGCAGTCATTTCCTATATAGACATGACGACTGTGGGAGGCGAGGTATGAGAGAGACGATGGGCGACGAGGCGATGTTGTTCATGGATGGTCAAACAAGTCTGGGCGTTGGCGCAAAATTCGCGGCATTCAGCCCGCCTCCAGACTAGCCTGAGTTGTCATTGTCCCCAACCTTGGGGCTCGCCTGTCGATAAACATCACGCTAGAGGTGTTTAGTCTGGGGCAGGAGGTCTGGGGATCAAATGCGATGCAGTGCGGGGGCTCCGCGTGAGTGCGACCATGAGAGGTCCTGGGAGGCAGAGATCATCATCAGTCGTCCGTGGCAGCGCAAACACAACGAGTCAAGTATGCTATCCCGCATCAAGGTTTTCTTTTCGGCGGAAAACTCGTGCGGAAAACTCGACACTAATGCCACGCGAACAAGTCTTCGCAGCAAGTGATCGAGCATGGAATGCGACGTTGGTGACAAGAACCATTCAATTGCATCCATGATTGGGCCGCTGAATCTCTCGCTCCCCGAAATGCCCAGGGGCTCGAGCTGTCAACCAAGCACTCTAACGTAAGGAGTTGATCGGTGGTCGAAGCTTTGCGGGGCAACGCACAAATTCGCCGAAATGCCCCTCATTCTCCCCGTGCCATTCGTATGTGGGTGTTTTCCGCAAGTAAACCGACGAGTTCCCCTGCCGTTCCCCGCCGCTTGCCGGCTTCGACGGCTTCAAGAGAACATTCTACGGAACAATGTCTATTAAGCTCGACGACCCGAGCAAAGAGGTGCCGGTATACTCCCTTCGTCCTCAATCATGTTGCATAGCTTGATCTGAGGCCTGGGGCTCTGTTTTCCAGCCTTGTTCCGATCTTTGTCCTAAATTAACTGCCCAAGCCTCAATCCCGAACCAGGGCATCCCTTGTCGATTACACGCACATATAGCTTCTCCGTTATTCATCGCAGTCATGGCACCACTAGCCACAACGTCCACCATCGTGTCCCTAATAGGTGTTGTCAGCGCCCTAAACAATGGCCTCGCAAGGACGCCGCAGATGGGATGGGTACGTGCGTCACTCTGTGCCGGCGACAAACATGCTCACCGTATCAGAACAACTGGAACGCGCTCGGGTGTGACGTCTCGGAGGCTCTGCTCCTAGACACATCCAAAAAGCTTGTCAACCTTGGCCTTCGCGACCTGGGCTACAACTATGTCGTCCTTGACGACTGCTGGTCCGGCGGCCGTGGTGAGGATGGCTTCCAGTACGAGGACCGAACCAAGTTTCCGAGTGGCATGAAGGCGGTCTCGGACGCCATCCATGACATGGGCATGCTCTTCGGCATGTACGGCACCGCTGGTGAGATGACCTGTGCCCGCTACCCGGGCTCTCTCGACTGGGAAGAGAATGATGCCAAGTCCTTCGCAGCCTGGGGCGTCGATTATCTGAAATACGACAATTGCTATTCCATGGGTCGCCACGGGTCCCCCAAGGTCTCCTTCGACCGTTTCGATACGATGCGCAAAGCTCTGAATGCCACCGGCAGGCCGATGATCTACTCTCTGTGCAACTGGGGTGAGGACTACGTCTACTCTTGGGGCGTTTCCATTGCCAACTCGTGGCGTATGTCAGGCGACATCTACGACTCGTTTTCTCGGCCCGACGTGCTTTGTAGCTGCGAGGACCCAAGCAATCCGTTGTGCACATCGTGGGGCACGCACTGTTCCGTGTTGAACATTCTCAACAAGGTCGCCGCGTATGCTGACCGCGCGCAACCTGGCGGCTGGAACGACCTCGATATGCTCGAGGTCGGGCAGGGTGGCATGACGGATGACGAGTACAAGGCGCACTTCACCATGTGGGCGCTCGTAAAGAGCCCTCTGCTCATTGGCACCGACCTGAGGAAGCTCTCTGCCTCAGCGCTGACGATTCTGAACAACCCGGCCATCATCGCAGTGAGCCAGGACCCAGCGGCGAGGTCAGCTCTGCGCGTGGCCATTGACTACGACGTCAAGAAGGACAAGTACGGCGTCGGCGAGACGCAGGTCTGGAGTGGGTGGTTGGCAAACGGCGACCAGGTCGTTGCGTTCTTGAACGCGGCGGACGAGGACCGTAAAATGAAGATCGATCTTGAGGAGGTCTTCGTTAGGGATGGTCCGGGGGGCTCGGCAGAACAGGTTCAGCATGAGTGGCAGATCTACGATCTCTGGGCTAACCGCATGTCCGATGACGTTGCGGAGGGTCTTCTCGACGCCAGTGAGAAGAAGGATGGAGACAAGGCGGCGAAGCTGTTCGACAAAACCAAGTGGTATAATTCGACTGAGCTGCCGTACAAGGAGGGTCTGCTCAAGGACGATGAGCGGCTCTTCGGCAAGCATGTTGGTTCAGTCAAGGCAAGGGGCGTCATTGAGGCCAAGGTGCCGAGGCATGGTGTTGTTGCCTATAGATTGAGGACCAAGGCTCCAGGGTTGAAGAGGTACTCCATGACCAAGGAGGAGCTGTAGATGCTTACATATGATGTTGCGCGTGACACCCGTGAAACGACCGAGACCCAGATTCATACCACCCAATAAAACTTCGAGGAGTTGCTATAATACCGTTTGATTGCCTGAATGTATAATTTAGAAGAAGAAGCCAAGAAAAATTTGGTGTTTGACAAGTGAGTTCGGTAGAGCCCTGGGTTTCCTGCTTTCAACCGTGAATAATGTGAGATCCGGACATCAAGAGTTTAACAGGCAAGAAGCACAGCCTTGGCACAGTATGTGAAAAGGCTCAATTATAGCCGACATAAGCGGATTCAGAAGTTAAGGTTCAGGTGAAGCGCAACTTCTCTAACTGAAAAAGTATGAATCTCTACCGCAAGGATAATTGTCAAGACAAAGAGCAATGCCCCCAGGTCATCCCTTTACTTTCAACTAGGCACACAGACTCCTAATACTATTCATATTCAAGACTATCGATATTGAGCACCAGCATTAAGGGCCTAATGAAATGGCAAGGAGAGATATAGGTATGGCCTCGTCCCTGAAGCTGCTAGCAATTCCAAGATTTCTCCAAGTTGAAAAATGCCATTCAATCGTGGGGGCTTGTCGCAAGATCTTTCATCGGGGCGAGGCCGTGGATGTATTATTACTAGACAAAGAGGAGAACAAAGGGAGAATCTAGCTGAAGGGCTGCGTGCCCTTAGTGAAGAAGGAAATGATGTCGAGCACGAACGACGCTCTCAGTGAACTGCCTGCTAAAGCGCAGCCTCAGCCTTGTGGCTTAGCTGGATATAAATCGTAACATCAAGACATCATTCCTCAAGTCAAGGGCGCAGCAACATCTCATCACTCATGTCTCGTCTCTGCTCACTTGTTCAGCCTCGGCGCCCTCTCAGGATCCCTCCAAAACAAGCACTGTTCCCTCCGCACGGCATCTTCCTCCACAGCCGGCCCATCAGGCTGCACAACAAGCTGTTTGGGCGGGGTCGACTCGACGCCGTAGCCCGATGGCGCATAAGCAGGCCACTCAGGCGTGCTGCTATCTCTGTGCGTGTTCGGGTCGCCGGAGAGCACGAAACTGGCGAGATAGGCGTGGAACGCGCGGCCCTGCGCGGGGTACTGCGTGCCGGGCTCGTCCCAGGCATACGTGCGGTCGATGGCGTGCGGGATCCCCTGCCACGCGGGCGCGCCGTTGTTCGTGTTCCACCGAAGTTTCCACGTCGGCACGCCCGCCGCCGACGTCCTGTATGCCGTCTCTTGCACCGGGCAGCGGTAGGCAAAGTCCGTCCAGGCGGCGGCGAGGCGGTTGTACTGCGTGCTGTTCGGGGAGTTTGTGTACGGGGAGCTCGCGTCCGTCGCCGGGTCGGGATACAGCTTGACGAGGAGCGCGAGGTCGTTCTCCGTCAGATCGGGGGCCGACGTCTTCATGAAGTCGACGAATTCGGCTTCCGTCTCGAGGGTCCCGGGGATGAACCCCTTTCCCTCGTCCGTTGCGGACGTCGCCAGCGTGGGGACATGGAAGAATGTCTCGTCATATCCAGACTGAGATCCGGCCTTCTCGAAGAGCGCCGCGTTCTTGACCGGCTGCCATGGCCAGGTGATGACGGGATTGTACTTGGCAAACACATCGTACCCGGCGTCTCGGATCCGGCCGACGTCGGCGCTGCGAAGGCACTTGAAGATGTCCTTGCTGCGTGCTTGACCATCGCAACCTACGGACGAGAGAAACTCGGCGTACTGAGTCTGGTAGAGGGGGTATGTGGCGTTAGGAAAGGTCCTTGCTGTGACGGAACCGGATTCGTAAATTACGCGGGCGAAGAGCTTCTCTCCAGCTGTCGTGCCATAGTTGTGAAAGTGGTGGATGCCTATGAGACCAATTTGGTCAGTGTGCTGTCACAAACTTTCACCCCGCCGCTTAGACTTACCAACCGAATGCCCTCCAGCGCTGAGTCCGCCCAGCGTCACAGTCTTCGGATCGGCTCCAAATGACGCCGCATACCTCTGAACGAAGCGCAGGAGTAGCTGCTGGTCCAGCACACCAAGGTTTAGGAGGTCCGCATCCTGGAAAAGCTCCGAAGGCAGTGATCCCAGGGGGCCGAGACGATAGTTGAAAGTGATGACAACTAGGGGCTCCTTCGAGTTCGCGACAAAGGCAGCGCCGTCGAAACCCTGCTGGTTGCCATTGTTGAATGCGCCACCGTGGACCCATACAAGCGTGGGGAGCTTCTTGTCCAGCGGAACACCTTTGGTTCTGAACACCTCAAACTGAAGGCATGCTTCCGACTGGCTTTCCAGGGGAACTGATGCCGTGGCTCGCTGGATGCATGACTTGCCGCTCTTCGTGGCAGCCTTTGTGCCTCGAAAGGCCTTTGGCCAGTCAGGTTTCTTAAAGCGCCTGTTGCCGATGGGCTGATTCGCGTAGTCAATGCCTAACCAAGCATCGACGGTCGAGGCCAGAGGTTTGCCGCTGATTGTTTCGTTGACGACGGTGCCGTAGAACGAACCGTAACCCTTCAGGGTGACTTGGTTGTAGACGGGGGTTGGCTTAGCTGAGACCAATTCAGCAGCCGTCGCAACGGCGAGACAGAGGAGTGCGGTAGCTTTCATCGCGTGTGTGAAGAACACAGTACCAGTCTAGCCGGGGCGTTCAGTTAGGTAGACGAAAACCCGCGATTGTCAGCCGAAGCTGGCGGCCAGGGAAGATCTTCATTCCGCTTTATACAACATCACATCCTCAAGTTAGTCGAAGTGGCCGAGTCATATCTCCGGGGATACTCCTCTGGCCCGCTATGCTGGGTGCCGGATGTCGCCCGGAGGCTTGCTACGCAGTCAACCATTGGATTTTGATGGCCAGAGGTTCCCACAGGTTCTGATGGTGCCATTCAATGGGGCAAGCTTTGAATTGAGCCATGGCCGGCATTAAGCAAGGGGGTCCCGGGAATGACGTAGAAAAGAGATGCGAAGTCAATTGCCGACGCCCCCTCGTTCTTTATTAGTGCCCCGGCACACTTATTGAGCACCCCTCTTTCGATCCGGGGTAGACTGATTGTCCCCGGTCACACTTTTGAAATCCGGCCGCACGTCGTACATGATAGAGATCATGCCAAATGGGGATAATCATTCTCCCTCAGGCTAGCAAACATAGCCAAAGGCCCCTCACGTGGCCATGCTTCGGCTCGAACGGCCTGTCGGGCTGCCACGATATGACCGAGCTGTCAGGCTTATGGACCAACCATCTCACCACGCGATCTTGGACCATTTTCGCTGGCCATACCTCAGAGTATAATTTCTCATGAAAACGACCAATACTAGCTGTTTTGAATTGTAGGCATAGTAGGCACAAGCCAATTTCCGTCAAGGCTGGAAAGAAACTCGTACAAGTCATCTGCCTCAATGTCCTCAGCGAAATGCGATCGTGTCGAGCTCGAAGTGCTGCCCTATCGGACGCGTCGTTGACGTTCGTGACGACGATAGGAATATCCATTCCGTCCAAGATTTTCATGAAGAACTGCTAACTATATTAATCGTCCGCGAGGGACTTTTTCTTACAGAATCCATCAGCACACTTCCAATGATTTTCCTGCACTCCCGATCTTCGACCATCTGCTGCAAATCAACCCTGCACTCCTTGGCATCAAGCTCTCGGCGGGCCCGGTCAATATCCTCCAGCTCTAATATGCTGCGGGCTTTGTGAGCTGTTATGTTCTGTCCCAATGCCTTAGCCTTTTCTTCAACCTCGTAAATGAGCTCTGCCAGCACCGCCGAACGCGCAGTATCCCGCAACGCTTCGGCCAGACCCAACGCGGACGTGATAATGCGACTAGTATCCCCTGCGGTGATGGGCAATCGATGCACAGAGGTATGCCTCAGCTCGGTTAGTTGGGCAAAGATGCGCCGAAGCGTGTGTTGTGGAACGCTCAATGCGTTGTCGGGAAGCTTGGGGAAGTTTTCCTTGAATACTTTGGGCCATGTTGTCAATTCAACGGCCACGGCACAGTCCCAGTCTTTGGCCCGCAGTATTTTGGGGAACCACTTCGTCGCAAAGTCAAAGCAGCACTCTTCGACTATGCGTTGCGTCGTTTCGAGTACGAGATGCTGTGCTTCATAAGGCAAACAAAACGAGTGCAAGGTTGAAGTCGATGGTGCGTCGTGATCCATCATAGAAGGAAACAAATCTGAAATATTAGCTGGCTCATCTGTAAAAGGGCGATATCTTAGGAACGAACCAGCAGTAGCTTGTGTAAAGCCGTAGTTGTCAGTCGCAGAACTGGGCGACGCGGACTTTCCCCCCTTTACAGCCTGGTGATTTTCCTGAGACGCGTCGATGACTGTCAAGGGACTCTCCACAGGCTCTGCAGTGCTGGCTTTGGGCGATTCGAGCTTCGGGACAGGATCATGTTGTGTTGGAGATGGATCAGCAAACTCGGCGTTGGCCCTGTTTTGGGACTCGAAAACTCCAACTGTGCTCAAGTGTCGCGCGATCTCGAGTATTTTTTTGTAAGAGAATTCTAGCGAAACGGGGCGAGGTCTAGCTTTATGGGAATTGAGTGCCTTCCGTATTGCCTTGGCTTTCTTGACTTTGGAAAGGCTGCCTTTGAAAATCGGCTGGCAAACGAGGTAAACCCGTTTTCGGTCAGAAAGTGAATATTTAATGTTCGAACGTGATTGCGTTTGGGGGTGGAAAATATCAAAAATCAATGGAGGATTCGGTGACTGGGGTTCCTGGGAGAGAGCACACTGATAGATTGTGTGAAAATGTATTGCATTATGGGGCAGACCCGTTGGCGTTGTATAGGCCTGGAGCCTATACCTCAAGAACGCAGCCCACTTGAATTTATTGGTGGTGACATTCACCTGGTCAGTAGCATAGCATTCATCTGGTGCCTTAGTTTACTTCCAGGCATTCTCCAGCCTTGTAAAATAGCTATGCAATACACACCTTCATTCCACACTTTACCCCCTCCAACAGAATCAACTTCCTTGATTCAGCACGCATCCTTCTAGCTCAATTGGATAGCTACCGCAAGGCCCTCACGACGGTGTGAGGGCTGACAGGAGCCCCTTCAGGACCAACCTTAGTACATTGGTAGGCCTCCCGCATATGGCTTGTTGGCCCAGTGGGTGGCGATATCAGCTTGTGGCATCCCATAAACTAAGAGATGTGGTAACGGAGTAGTCATTATCATCATCAAGGCAATCACCGCTTTCATGAAACATAGTCGCGCTTACCATGAAGGGTATGCAGATCTTATGTGACACAGCGTCGACATATGTGTATGCCTGGGTCGCACAGCCCATTAAGTGGAGGTCTTGATCAATCAGTCTCGAAAAGCCTCGTGCCACTGGTAAACTTCAAGTCAAGTGGCAACCAAAGCAAAGCTTCCCGACCCAGGAAGGTTATTCAATAGAACTCGTCAAGTTAGGTGCGCAGAAGTTAAGCTCAAACGAGTGAACTTGATCGAATGCTAATGTTCAAAGCCTGGAAGCTTGATACTATTGGAGAGACGCAACATGTCATTCAATTTCTCTTCTTCTTCTTTGAATAAGTTGACTTTTATACAAGACTTTGACACAAACCACGATCCATAATCGGCAATTAATTTCAAGGTGCAAAGCGTTTTGCAGAACCAGAGAAGGCAGCTCTCTCAAGTTGATAGTCGTACAAATAGGAGTAACCTCGAAGCTCAGAAACAGAAGCGGAAGCAACACATTGCCTGATTTGTCAGACTGGTTATAGGTCAGCGATCCCCTTTAGTGGAGAGGGACGGCAATTTATTCTAGAGCCGTGAGCGTCTGCCCGACGTTGGCTTTAGTTGATCCAGGGGAAGCAGACTCATCGTCAGAAAGAAGTTCCTTGACAAAACCAGGCTCCGGAAACACGGGCTGACGATGCGAGCGAGTCGAGAAAAAGGGAATCGAGTCTTCAAACAAGTAATGAGACTCTCGCGGTTGATTGCCGGGCTCAGACCTGCCATCGCATCCAGAAGTTGAAGGTCGAACACCTGAGTGCTCAGGATTGGCAGGACCCCGGAACGCGTTGGAAGAGCGCGGGTGTTGGCTGGTTGAGCGCTGGGAACTCATGTTGGCGAAGTAGTATGCACGTTCACGTGCTATCCGCTGTTTCTCTTGGTATGAGGTCCCTGAGCTATGAATGTACATCTCGTTTTGGGCGAACGAGTTGTGACCGTATTGTTGAGGTCGGTGACCATGCTGAGGTGTGTCACACTGCGCAGAACACTTGTCGTCTGGAGCCCGACCTTGAGACATGTACTCTACGAATGGATCGGAAGTTCCTGTAGAGTCTTGAGCAACCTTAACAGCATTTGCTTGTGAGTGCAAAGAAGCTCCTGAGCCTTGAGCCATCAGCGGTTCTGTTTTCTCGTACATCCGTTGACGGACGTGTTCAGTTTCGTGAAAAGTTTGAGGGAATTCGGGAGCAGGCTTTGTAAAGATCTCCCGAGGATGCCGAGTCTTCTGCCCCTGCCCATTGATGAGAGGCGAATGATACTGGGCAGTCTTCATAATAGCTGGCGCAGCTTTCATGCACCGTTCGACAGGCGGCGGCTGATCTTCTCCCACAACCGCGGCCATTGCAGGCCTCGGTTCTAGAATGACATCAGCCGAAACTGTTGAAGCCTCACAATCGCTCTCGCTTGTGTCCAAGTCTGATTCTACAGTTGGTTGTCTGTAGATAGAACTTGGCGTCGATGGTGAAGCCTCCTTGACCAAACCCTGTCCGCGGCTACGACGCCGCCGTTGACGACCGAGTGGGAGGGAAATTGTGTGAGAAGTACTCGCGGTACTTCGCTTTGGTGTGTAAGGCCCCTGTGTCTTCGCAACTTCGGCAGAAGAACTTTTGGCCACGCTGGACCGCATCTTGGTGCTAGAAGGCTTCGAGGCGTCAGCAGGAAGGCAGTAGTATCTTCATCTAGGACTCACATACCTTTTTGACAGGCTCTAATTTGAGCATTTCGCTCTTCCTACTTCTTTGAAGCCGGCAGAAGCTGCAGATGTTGGGCACAGGATTTCCTTCACCCACGGGGTGCTGTTTGTGGAAATGGGCAGAGCGGGCAAAGCCGCAACCCCAGCACAGATGACCGAAAGCATCCACTGCATATTTGTTGCCGTCGCAGTACTTCTTGAGGCACGGCTGGCAAAGATTTTTCCAGGCCGTATCGCTGGCACTCTGCGCTCTCTCTTCCTGGTGCCTCGTCGCCCGTCGAATGCCACATCCTGCGCAAAAGTGTCCGTCGAGCATCATACTCGACCGAGATCTGCCTTTGAGAGTGTTCTCCCGAACGTGAAGATCGGTGGCATCGACGACCGTCTCGTCGTCTGACAAGAAATCTTTGCCCCCCTGGTTGCCTACACTATTGGATGCACAAAGCGGGCGTCGTGTCGAATCAGCCATTTCCTTATCTGTCTGCTTGGATCCAACAATCTTGGAGCTCTCAAGCTTGTGAGTGTAGTCCTTCTCGAACTCTGCTATTGCTTTGCGGAATTCTTCCTTTGGAAGAAGGTTGTGTCTATGCTTGGAATTTAACTTCACGTCCTCAAATATAGAAAACGTAGACTCCGCCATGTCGGAAGGAACCAGTCGGTAGTTTCCCGGTGATGTTGACTCGGCACGGCAAGTTGAGCTGCTTGAAGACGACTCTTTCTGACCCAAAATTATTCTGCGGCGATGATTGGTGGCAAGAGAGTGTTTCTTAGGATGGCGTTCGTCAGTGTCGCTGGACGCGCCGCTGGTGTCGCTGTCTCCATCAGAGCTAACTGCACCGCGGATTTTAAGCTCAGAAGGATATGGTGACGAGACGTAACTTGACTTGCGACCGCCTTGGCCATTTCTACGTTGAGGATAGACCTCCACGTTGTAAAGATCTCGTGGTGCGGTATCGCGTAGGTGCTTGCGGCTCGAAGATCGCGCCACCCTCTGATACTTGTCTCCTTCGCGGCGGGACGAGATACCCAGTGCTTCCCCAAGGGTAGCAAGGATAGAGCCCTTATGATGCCGCCGACGCTCGTTCATACTGTGCTGCCGTCGTAACCCCTTCGTGTTATATACTGCGTGCGATGCAGGTTCCGATGGGTAGGTGGTTGAGCTAGAAGATGAGGGCTGCGAGGAAAGATCAAGGCTGGCAATACTGGTCCAGCGTCTGTGGGAACTTATTGTCAGAGGACTGTGTTCCGAGCGTGGGAAAAGGAGGATGTAGCAGAGGGAATGGCAGGAGCTTGGAGAGAAGTGCCGCGCTCGCAGTGCTTGACCTCCACAAGCCGCCCAAGGAAGGCGCGTGGTGATGTTTTGATTCTGGAGCCACTAGTCGGGAGACATAGATCAGGGTGGCAAATGCCATTAAATCCAACATACCGAAGACCTGTTTTGAGAAGTACGAATGACTCCCTTGTCTTTATTTCGGGACCCGACATTTTGTACTTGATAGCCAAAGCGCGAGAAGTCAACCAGTGTTGGTGTCTTGACAGTGCATCATTGGTGGTTGTAAGAGTGAGAGTGAAGATGAAGCTAGGAAGAGCGTACTTCTTGGTTTGTGTTCAGAAGTGATTCATAGAGGATAATCTGGTTGGCCTGACAAATACGTTCGCGGCAGCAGTTGAGGCACCACCATCCGCAACGATCTCCTTGGATGACGTCGCTTGGCCAACAGCAAGCGTTCAGGACACACATCACACTTTGACATTGTCAAATAGTACAATTGGTATACAACTACCAGAGCCAAGTCTTCTGCTTTTGTGTCTAGGTACATGCCGGGCCTTCTGCCGATCGGCTGATGGTATCCCCCAAGCCCATGTCCTCCAAGCCAAAGTAAAGGAAATATCGAGGTAAGCTCTCGTGATGAGCTCTTATCGTCAAGTCATCGCTGCGCGGCGGCTGTTGGCTCGCTCGCCCGCCTGCCCTTCTAGTCCGATCGCAGAACGCGGGGTCCACGCTTCTTGATGGCCTTCTTCTTCTTTTGGCCCTTGTTGAAGGCGCTGACGGCCGCATGGTCACGGCCAATGTTGTCAAGGTCCTTGACCTTGTAAATGCGGATGATCCAGTTCTCGCTTGTGAATGCCTCCTCGACCGTGTCAAGAGTAGGACCTTCCGAGGGCAAACGTACTCCACGAACCCTGTCCTGTGCCTGGCCAGCAGGGAAGAGCGTGTGGTAGTTGTAGTAGGACATCTTGTACCTGGACTGTGCATTAGCAACTGCATAGTTTTGCAACTCAGGGCAAACTTACATCAAGCTGTTCTTCATAGTGTCAGTGGCGCCCTCGTCGACACGGTACTCGCCACGGGGAGTGAAGAAGCTGCGCTCCTGAACCTCATCAGGCCAGATACCCTCGGCGATACGAACCATCCAGAGGAATTTGTTGATGTCGTCGCCGGAGTAGCCGAGGAGACCGCCAAATACGACAAGAACGTAGTCGACCTCATGCTGGCGCATGATGGGGTAGCTGACCTCCTCGCGAGAGGCCATAGCCTTACCAACAGTAGCAATGTGAGTGTTGTTCCACGTGTTGTTGTCCACGAGAGTGGGGCGGTCAGCCATACCGCCAATCTGGTAGCCATAGTCCCACCAAGCCATGATCTTGGCGTCCTCCTTGGTGTTCTGGCGGATCCACTGGTACGCCTCTCGATAGTCATCAATGATATGCTGGCTACCGTCGGGCATGCGACTGGCAAGAACGACGGAGGGTGAAGAGTAAGCGTTGGAGGTGACCCAGGTGCAGTGAAGGACGAAAAGGAGCAAGTAGGCACCAATGGCACCGACGACAAGACTCTTGGACAACAGAGTGTAGATGCCGACGTAAGGCTTGCTCGTAGACTTGAGTCCCTTGTTTGACTTCTTCGGGGCGGCTTCGGCAGTATCCTCGGCAGCTTCGTAGGCTTCGGCAGAGGGAGACCAGCGAGTCAGGAAGGTGTCAAGAAGCTGTGAGGCGGCCATGGCGGCAGCAACGCAGACACAGGGCGTCAGAGTGAGCATGAGACGAACCATGACACCGGCGAAGTAGCTGCCAAGCACAGCATACAGCACGAGGAAGATGTGCTCGTCGCGAAGCTCCTGGAAGCAGAGGTAGATACCAGCGGGGAACAGCCAAATCATCATGTTCAGGTCGAAGAAGAATGCAGGCCAGGCAGTGGGCTGGTGCTCTGAAACGGACGCGATGATGGGGATGTGAATCTTGGCATAGCCAGTGTCCCAGAGAGAGTAAAAGCGGCCACCCCAGGGGGCAATGTATCCGAGCTGAGTCAAGGCAACGACGCCGGCGAGTCCGAGGCCGAAAGTCAGGGCAACCATGGTGTAGAGGAAGTTTTGGAACTGGCGGGCAGGAAGTGCGCTACGGACATAGTCGATGAAGGCCACCAATTGCAAGAATCCGAACATGCCTTTTCTTTGTAAGTTTGATTATAGTCATCAATCTGAGCACCCAGAATTCAACTTACCGAGAGCGGGCATGTGCTCGCTGGTTTTGATGGGCAGGAAACCGACGAATGGAATGTTCATAGCGGCCACGGTGCCAAGGGCATACCAAGTCGTGTACGAGACATATAGCCTGGTGCTGTACCTGCCAGTGGCAACCAGCACGAGGGCGTGCACGGGCAGCATGTTGGTGATAAAGGCGTAGCCACCCCACGAGGCAACCATGTATCCATAGAAGAGGGCACACAAAGAGGCCCAGAGGATAGAACCGAGCTTGAGCGCTTTGATCCAGAGGAAGAAGGTGAAGACAAGCAGGAAGATGGCAATAGCCTCGTTATCGTAGCTGCCAGCCACGGAACGTGAGATGTAACCGGGGGTAATACCCATGAAGGCCGCGGCGAGAAGACCGGCGGAAGGCGAGGTGGTCATCTCGTTGGTAAGAAGGTACGCTGCGAAAGCCGTCAGGCCCGAGAAGGCCGGCGCCAGGAGGACGCAGATGTTGCGAATATCAACGGGAATCGTAAGGGCTCGGAGAGCATGGTAAATGGCACCGCTGGTGACCATGAGACCAGGGTAGAGAGTTCCTCCGGTAACCCGACCAAGAGGGTGCCAAGTGCGGTCATCAAACCAGTCCCAGAAGCTGTAGACTCCATTGGCAACGAGATATTTGGTGGCTCGGAAGTTGAACCACGGGTCGACTGGGTTCGAGGTCAGTACGGCATCCTAGAATTCGGGGAGAGAGCGGGGAATCGGCAACGACGAACATTCGTGGATGATAGATTCAAAACCTATTGGCAATTAAGATTAGCGACGTTATCCCTAAGCTGCAGTCATGTGTGCGCGGTCGATTGAGGACACAATAATGAGGTGGGAGTGGTCTTCGTGGCTAGCCTATTCGGACTTTTGGGGGGGAACACTTACGAATGACAGAGAACAGACGACTTGCAACGCCAGCTGCCGCAATCAGGAGTAGGATGATCACACGTAAGAAGCTCCTTGTCTTCTGCGTGCTGCCTCCGAAGGAGGTTTCCACTGTTTGGGCCGACATTGTGGCCGTGAATGGTGGAAAGACAATGCTGAAGTTGGGAGACGACGTGGTGGGATTGATGTCGTCGATGAACGCTCCAGGCGTGCAGAAGGACAGCTTGAGCTTCTGCGACCCCGTATACACGCAATCTTGCAGGGGTGCAGAAGGGGGAAAGTCCGGCTACATACATATTGAGGTGGAACCGGGGTAAATTGCTTTTTGCTGCATAATAATCGGCCAATATTTCGTTTAGTTGCATTGGTCATGTTGATGAGGATAAGGAGCAATGATGGTCAGTGAATTGATGCTGGCTCCCGTGTTCTTGTTGACAACATGGAATGCTCTTGGGGGTGGCATGAGTTGGCCGTTTTGTTGTGGACGGTCACACCTTATACAAGTCTTCACAGGCGCTGTGTATACCGCGTGCAGACCGGCTCGGTGCAGCATCCAGAAAGCAGATCACGTCACCACATCACATCCTTGAATCCCATGACTGCATTATTTCAGTCATCTAGTCGAGCCTATTGTACACATGTACATCCAGTCAAGCGGAGGCAAAAGGAAATGTCTATGCCATGGCGGTCGAGCGCAACGCCTTTCGGAGCTGCCCACCCGATGAAAGTCCCGCCACTCTATCCCTCAATGCTCATGGGAGAGCATGTCGTATCCCTGCGCAGAGCCCTCCTCAATTCTGGTTGCGTCTTGTCCGTTCGCATTCCTCCACATTCATCCTCACTCCCATTTCCATTACGGGTTCTCCTTCGCCAGGTTGGTGAGATAAGCCTCAAGATCGAACTTGGGGTCCAGCGGGTCCTGGTTGGCTATTGACAGGTTAGCTTTGATAGACAACATGCACAGGGTAGCGAGAGGTCGTAGGGATTGACGAGCAGCCGCGGTGGCTTCGCTCGGATGGAACCGTGTGCCAACTACGAGAGTCGTACCTGAGCTAGTCGTCGCGGCGGCGACGGGAGAGTTCTTCTTGGCGTATTCGGCCTTGGCCTGGTTGATGAGCTGCTGCTTGTGGTCGTACTGCTTCTGCGCCGCGGCGGCCTTTTGGCTGGCAGTGATGGATCGCTGGTGGGAGAAGCCGTAGAAGATACCCAGGCCGAGGGCAGTGTAGCGAAGGACCTGTAAACCGAGTGACGGGTTAGCGATCAAATCAGTGCTACCAAGAATCGATCGTCGACGCTTGTAGAATCGTTCTGATGGATGGATGGAGGAAAGTTGCAGTCGGCGCAGGGATTGAGGTTTTGAGCTGTGAGGCGGGAAGCCTGAACGGCGAGGAAGAGGCCGCGAGGCCAGGAGGCGTGGCTCGACGTACGTTGACTCCGGATGAGGCAGACATGGCGAAAGTTGTCTGGGGAAATGCGACTGGATTTCGAGTGATGTGGGAGGATGATCGGGCAGCGCGCGGGTCGACAATGGCAGTCAATTGGCCCGTGGGAGGGAGTGATGCTAGGACGTTGAAGTGCGAAGTTTTGGTGAAAAGCTCGGGAGAAACCGCAGATTTTCCGGTCCTTCCATTGACCTCGTTGCTTGTCACTCCAATCCGCCGGCCCGCTGGGAGCTTGGACGACAACCGCATCCGCGGCCAGCCAACAGCGCTTCGGGCTGGGTGCTTACGTGATGTTACATGATTTCCCCGGCCATTTGCCGCCTTCAGTCACGTGCCAAATCAGGCACGTCCCGCGCGCCTCAGCTTGTCGCAGATGAAATGCCCCGTGGTGGTTTAGTTCGTACCTTGAGTGGATACAAGGGGGCAGCTGTCCACCTCAGGGACAGACAGGGGTCGCTTCCTCCACTGACGCCGCTGGATCGCGACGACGTGGGCTTGATGAAAGTTCCCCGAGCAAACACGCCTCAACGCTTATCACGAGCTCTACCCCTATCGCTCCAGAAACTCGCTGCTGGACGCGACTTCAGCACAACACACCATACCCGCTTGGCTCCCGACTGATTGCATCGACCAATCTGTGAGAGTCCACCGTCTCCCTAGTCATCGACGCTTAGAACCGGCAGCTCCCGTCATGGGAGTAGGGAGTCGGCAACATGCAACAACGTCGTGAAGAAATCCTGGCCAAGAAGGCAAAGCTCGCAGAACTCAAGCGGCAGAGGGAGCTCCGAGCAAACCAAGCAACAGCAACTCGCCAGAGCATAGGCAGCCCCAGCGAGGTTCGTGACTTTTTTTTTTCTCTACAGCGTGTGCCATCAACATCTACCTACGTACTGACACAACTTTATCTATTGTAGCTCATCGCACCACAACCGGGGCGTGGCGACAACCGCCGCGATATCGAAGCTCTTATCAATACCCTCGTTGGAGAAAGCCGCCCTGGATCCACGACCACAGGAGGCGCCGCATCGCCGGCGCATAGGGGCAGCCGGCCCAACAGTGTGCTGTCCGCTGGGGAGATTAGCAACGAAACATCGGAAGTCGCCATAGCATCTGCATTGCAGCCCGCGCCCCCGCCTCCTCCTCCGCCACAGGTTCTCACGACTATACCTTTGACCACCGTCTTCGAATGCCCACCTTCACCTGTCAAGGAG